CGCTGTTGAGGCTCTGTGCTGGGGATACGTCCTTGGAAAAATAAAACCTCTTTAATAGCAGCCCAGGTGGGGCAAGCCCTGATTAGGGAGCGACAATATCATTAGTCATTTCTGAAAGCTCTCACGGAGGCTTTCTGTCTTCTTTGGCTTTACTTTTATTCAAAATATTTTGCTTTTCATTTGGTGCCTCTGTTACTTTTATTCGGCAAGCGGTCTCGCTTGTTTTATTTGAAAGTCCTTCGCGGCGAGCTTTCTCTAAGCAGAGAGTGACTTGTCCTGGAGCAGAACTGAACCCGACCTAAGGAAGTTTTATTTTCTCTCCCTCTGGTCACCGTTCCCCTTGATGAAAACGGGACCCCCACGGGTTCTAGAAGATAACCTGAGATGGGAAGGGCCGCGGCACCGAGCACCATTCATCGCTACCCATGGCGGCCCTTTGATGAAGTTTTAATCCAGCGAACACAAGTTTTAATCCCGGAATGTTCGGCGATGCGCCAGCGCTGGAGCAGGATCAGGCCGCCGCAAGGAGCCTCGTGGGCAGCGATAAAGCAGCCCCCGAGGCATCGCTGCCTCCCTCGCCCCCTCCCTCCCTGCCAGCACCCACTGGGGAGCCGCGCGGGGAGCACAGCCGCATCGCCGCTGCTCTTACGCACCCGTCCCACCTTATTTTATGTTATTTTGTTAAGGCCGTGTTGTTGTTGGCGTACAACTCCAGTGACTTTGAGGAAAGATTTTTTTTTTTTTTTTTTTTTTTTTCCTCTTTCCTCCTTCCTTGAATGGCTCCTTTGAAAGGCAGCGCCTCTCCGTTTACATCCCCGCTGTCCGGATTGAATCAATCTTGCGGTCAGCGTCGGGAGGGGGAAAAAGAAGAAGAAAAAAAGCCTCACAAAGAGGGAAAATTGACAGGTCCGACCATCGGCGTGATTGATAGCGGTCGGAGAGGCGGGACCCAGCGTCAGGCTGCACCGGGGCGATGCCGGCGCTCGCCAGGGAAATCCAGCGAAGCGTTTTTTCCCAGAACCTGGGGCAGATGGGCTTGGTGAGGGGTGGCTGCGTGAATTTAATAATAGCAACATTGTTGGAACATAAAGCATCTGTCAGGAGTTAATATGATTAATTAGAGGGGGTCTGTGTGTCTCCCTCTTTCCCCTCTCCCTCTCTGGGCAGGCAGGAGGGACTGAAACCCAAACCCGGGGAGGGCAGAGGGGGGGTCCGTGCCGCAGTGCTGCCCACGGCGGGCACCCAGCCCCGGCCCCAGAAAAAACAGTTCCCCCACCAGCCCCCGACTCCGCCACGAGCCATGGCCACGACCCTGCCATTGGCAAACAATGCGCCCTCAGCCAGAGGGAAACACGAAAATGTCACACATCCCCAGCCACCGCCACGCCGGTGGCACGCCACGCCAGGCAGGGACGGGGTTACCGGGCTCTCCGCAGGGAATTGGTTCCAGATAAGCCTTGATTTTAGCAGCGCAGCGCTGGCGTCACCCCAGGGCACTGACCACCCATCCCTGCACCTCTGGATGCCCCACGGGGCGAGACATCGCAGAGCACCCATCCGGCCCCTCACCCGCCTTGCCTAAGGATGCCACATCCCTTTTCTGCAGGCCAAAGCTTTTCAGTGCTCACCCCACAACCTCCCCCCATGGCCCCCACGCCCCCATCCCTTCGCACAGCTCTCCCCAAGCCCCCGTTCTCCCACCCGCTCCCAGTTGAAGCCCAGGGGAGCCGCTCGTGCCAGGCTGGGCGACACGGCGTAAAGCCCCAAGATTTACCTGTGTGCCTGAGCTCATGGAAAGAGCCTGGCTGATCTCGGTGGGACAGTGATTTTCAGCGCCACCCCCCCCCTCAACCGTGGAGCCCCAGGGGTCTGTGAATTTAATTCAAAGATGTCTGGAAAAGGTAACTAGAAACAGGAAGTTAATTGGTGGGAAGCTTAATTAGTTCTGCAGCGGCATGCACTGTCACTGGCAAATTTTTAAGACTCTGCAAACCAAAGAAAAGCACCAAAAGAAAGGAGTATTGCAGGTACGTAAGGGAATTGCCACTTTTTGTGGGACTGGGGTCGCCCCATTCGCTGTGTTGCAGGGACACTGGACTCGCGCCCGATGGCTGCGTGTTTACTGATGGTGTGAAACGATCAGTGACGGTTTGGTCACCACCCCGAGAACAGAAACCGCGCTGGGAGAGCCGGCCGCTGCCGCCGTTCGGAACACTCCGAGTGCTGGCGGCTGCGACACCTGCAAAATAAACAGGAATGTGTGCAACCCGCGTCGGCCCTGCCGGGGCACCGGCAACCCCAGCGCTGCCCCAGTCTGCGCACGGGTTGTGTCTGGGGCAGCAGAGACACCGAGCTGCCTCTGCGGGGGCAACGGGGGCCGCGCTCTGCCCGCCCTGGGTGCGCACCCCCGGGCAGGGTGCTGGGTGCCCCGGCCTAGTGTGGCACTGGGGCAGGATGGCACGCTGGGTGCGGGGTGCAGGGGCTGGGTGAGGGGTGCGGGGCCTGGGTGCGGGGTGCAGGGGCTGGGTGAGGGGTGCAGGGGCTGGGTGAGGGGTGCAGGGGATGGGTGAGGGGTGCAGGGGATGGGTGAGGGGTGCAGGGGATGGGTAAGGGGTGCAGGGGATGGGTGAGGGGTGCAGGGGCTGGGTGCGGGGTGCAGGGGATGGGTGCGGGGTGCAGGGGATGGGTAAGGGGTGCAGGGGATGGGTGTGGGGTGCAGGGGATGGGTACGGGGTGCAGGGGATGGGTGAGGGGTGCAGGGGCTGGGTGAGGGGTGCAAGGGCTGGGTGAGGGGTGCGGGGGCTGGGTGCGGGGTGCAGGGGATGGGTGCAGGGGATGGGTGCGGGGTGCAGGGGCTGGGTGCGGGGTGCAGGGGCTGGGTGAGGGGTGCAAGGGCTGGGTGAGGGGTGCAGGGGCTGGGTGAGGGGTGCAAGGGCTGGGTGCGGGGTGCAGGGGCTGGGTGAGGGGTGCAGGGGATGGGTGAGGGGTGCAGGGGCTGGGTGAGGAGTGCGGGGGCTGGGTGAGGGGTGCAGGGGCTGGGTGAGGGGTGCAGGGGCTGGGTGAGGGGTGCAGGGGATGGGTGAGGGGTGCAGGGGCTGGGTGAGGGGTGCAAGGGCTGGGTGAGGGGTGCAGGGGCTGGGTGAGGGGTGCAAGGGCTGGGTGCGGGGTGCAGGGGCTGGGTGAGGGGTGCAGGGGATGGGTGAGGGGTGCAGGGGCTGGGTGAGGAGTGCGGGGGCTGGGTGAGGGGTGCAGGGGCTGGGTGAGGGGTGCAGGGGATGGGTGAGGGGTGCAGGGGCTGGGTGAGGAGTGCGGGGGCTGGGTGAGGGGTGCAGGGGATGGGTGCAGGAGCCACTGCAGCAGGGTGCTGAGCTCCGCCGTGCAAAGCTGTGCCGGGCTGAGCTCGTCTAATGCCACGGCAGCCAAATCATGCCGTGGTGTGCCAGCTGAGCCATGCCAGACACCAGGCTGGGCATGCCATGCCAGCTGAGCCATGCTGTGCCATTCCAAGCTGTGCCAGCTGAGCTGTGCTGTGCCGTGCCGAGCTGTGTCAGCAGCACCATGCCCTGCCATGTCAAGTCATGCCATGCCATGCTGTGCCATGCCATGCCAGCTATGCCATGCCAGCTATACCATGCCAGCTATGCCATGCCATGCTGTGCCAGCTGGGCTGTGCCATGCCATGCCATGCCATGCTAGCCATGCCATGCCATGCCATGCTGTGCCCATGCCCTGCCAGCTATGCTGTGCCGGTCAGGCCATGCCATGCCGTGCCATGCCATGCCAGCCCTGCCAGCTGTGCCATGCTGTGCCAGCTGTGCCGTTCCATGCCACGCCATGCCATTCATCCCAGCCCTGCCAGCCAGGCCATGCCATGCCACACCGTGCCATGCCGTGCCATATCAGCTGTGCCAGCCGTGCTGTGCCGCGCCATGCCACACCATGCCAGCCCTGCCAGCCATGCCGTGCCATGCCATGCTGGGCCAGCCGGGCCATGCCATGCTGTGCCAGCCCTTCCAGCCGTGCCATGCCATGCCGTGCCGTGCCATGCCATGCCATGCCAGCCCTGCCAGCTGAGCTGTTCCATGCCATGCTGTGCCATTCATCTCAGCCCTGCCAGCCAGGCCATGCCATGCCACACTGTGCCGTGCCATGCCGTGCCATATCAGCTGTGCCAGCCGTGCCATGCCATGCCATGCCATGCCATGCCGTGCCATGCCATGCTGTGCCAGCCGTGCCATGCCATGCCACACTGTGCCATGCCGTGCCATAACAGCTGTGCCAGCCGTGCCATGCCGTGCCATGCCGTGCCGTGCCGTGCCATGCCATGCCGTGCCATGCCATGCCGTGCCGTGCCGTGCCGTGCCATGCCATGCCGTGCCATGCCATGCTGGGCCAGCCGGGCCATGCCGTGCCATGCCATGCCGTGCCGTGCCCTGCCGTGCCGTGCCATGCCATGCTGGGCCAGCCGCGCCATGCCATGCTGTGCCAGCCGTGCCATGCCATGCCATGCTGTGCCAGCCGTGCCATGCCATGCCATGCCATGCCATGCTGGGCCAGCCGGGCCATGCCGTGCCGTGCCATGCCATGCCGTGCCGTGCCGTGCCGTGCCGTGCCAGCCCCGCCAGCCGCCCCGCTCCGTGCCCGCCGCTCGGCTCCACGCGGGGCCGGGCCGTGGGCGGCTCTCCCCCACGCGGCGGCGCGGCGCGGGGCGGTGGCGGCGGCTCGCCCCCCCCACCGGCGGCTCTCCCCGCCCCGGGGGCCCGGCCGGGCGCGGATTGGTGCGCGGCGCCGGCCCCCTCGGAGCGCGGCCGCCATCGGGGCTATTTGACGTGTCGGTGGGGCCGGGGAAGGGTTTCGTCTCGCCGGGGCCGCCGCCGCCGCCGCTCCGCCGCCCGCCCGGCCCGGCCCGGCCCCGCGGAGCCCGGCGCCCGCCCTCCCCCCCCCCCCCTCCCCTCCCCCCCCCCCCCCCTTTTTTTTTCCCCGGCCGCCGCCCGCCCCAA